GAGATAACTTGTATACTGCAGCAGCTGAAGTTGTCCCCTACTACAGTGGTCTCACAGTCCCCAACGCATCGGCCTCAACCCACCACCTGGGATCCCGCTGGGGCTCGCCCTTTTGTGCCATCCGCCCAACGGAGTACCTCTGCACCGATGGCGATCTCTTGAGCACCGATCCTGCATCTGCAATCATTTCTATTGTTCTTATGGTTTTTTTTTCTAATGCATGTTTGCAAGTTTATTAATGTTGTTCCATATGCCAAGACAGGAAATACACTCCTCCACACAACACCCGCTGGCTAATGGGTCTCCCCTTACCCCCCCCCACTCTCACCCACTCTATTGGAAGTTACTCTCATAGTTACAGGAAAGTGGGTGATAGCCCCTAAACCTATTGTATATGTCCTATGGTTATGATCCTCTTGCCAAGTAGAGGGGCACACAGCCTGTTCTTCCACTCTAGGCCATATACTAGCACACATTACACTCTCCAGGGGTAGTAGTTTCAGTAAAACTGTTCCAAAGCTAACTACTATTACCAAAACTCTTCATTCCTAATGTACAAGCTACAGGTTCCGGCAGCACTTGATAGATTATGTTTACCATGGCTATTTGTGTTATCTATACATAAAAATGTGCTGAACAATGTATACACTGATTATGTACTGATATGTTTACATCACTGTACATTTTGACATGTATACGGTCTTATCTTTGTCACCACTGAGCATGACAAAAAAAATGTAATTTTTTTTTTTAAAGTATGAGAAATTTAAAAAATTTCCTTTTTTTTTTTAGTTCTGCATGGCATTTTAACTGTGGATGTTATAATACTGTTAAATAACTTTTTCTGCAATAAAATACACATATTTGTATTCAGCTTTGTCTCAAGTATAACAGTAACCCCCATGTACAGGTTTTATGGTGTTCTAGAAGTTACAGGGTTACATATAGCACATGCTCCATTTTTCAGTTTATATAATTTGAAAGTTACTGATTAAATTGCCTTCAGACCGTATAGTAGCCCAAGAATCAGAATTACTCTCAAGGTGGTATACCATTTGCAAAAGTAGACAAGCCAAGGTATTGCAAATGGGGTATGTCCAGTCTTTTTTAGTGGTCAATTTGTCACGAACACTGGCCAACATTGGCGTTTATATTTTATTTATTTTTTTGACCCTGTAACTTTCGTAAAAACACTATAAAACCTGTACATAAGGGGTACTGTTATACTTGGGAGACTTTGCTGAGCACAAATATTAGTGTTTTAAAAACAGAAAAAAAATCACAACCATGATATCGTCAGTGAAAGTGACTGGGATGTCACGCAGTGCCCAGAATCGTGACCGACGGCAGGGACCCAGTAATTACTAAGGACGCCAGGGACGTTCGATGCCATCTTTAAAGGACATGTCCTAAACGCCTTAAGGGATTAATTCTACTGAGTGGTAGTATGAATTAGAACATTTTAAAGCATCCATGTTAGCATACACAAATCAGCCTTTATTTGGTAGTTTAGGTAACTTTCTATAGACGCATACAGCTGTATAATTAATGTATTAATTAAATCGAAACATTATAAGAAGTAATTGTACTCCAACTTTTACATTTGGTAATGTTTGTATTTTAACTAGTTTTTAAAGGACCACTATAGTGCCAGGAAAACAAACCTATTTTTCATGGCACTATAGGGTATTTAGGTTGCCCCCAACCTTAAGGGTCCCACTCCCACTGCGCTGAAGGGGTTTAACACTTACCTTTCTCCAGCGCTGGGCTCCCTCGATGCTGGTCACCTCTCCTCCCTCTGCCAACATCAGTGCCGAATGCGCATGCGTGGCAAGAGTTACACACGCATTCAAACAGTCCATAGGAAACACTCCATTTCTTAAATGCTTTCCTATGGACGTCCAGCGTCTTCTCACTGTGATTTTCACAGTGAGAAGTGTGGAGGTGTCTCTAGCGGCTGTCAGTGAGACAGCCACTAGAGGCTGGATTAACCCTAGTGCAAACATAGAGCTGAAGTGGTCTGGGTGCTTATAGTGGTCCTTTAAGCAAAATGAATAAAGAATATCCATGTAGCAAAAAGAAGTCAAAGCCTTTTAATAAAAATGTGTGCAGCATTTGAATGTGGATAAAATCATATTTAACAAACAAGGGGTGTACACTCAAACAATACAAATTAAGTTCAACACTTATGTGGAGGATCCCCTTAACCTTCACAAACACCAATAGTCTAAAACAAAGATAATAAGTGGAGCTCTATAATACCTGGGATACTTGAATATATGGCAGATGTATTCAATGATATGCTTTTACAATAATCTGTAAATTATATATAACATACACATTGTAAAGGCATATCATTGAATATACCTGCCATATATTCAAGTATCCCAGGTATTGTAGAGCTCCACTTATTATCTTTGTTTTAGTTTTGATAAAATCATATTTGTTTACTCTGTTTTTAGATACTTAGTATCACTGTTTGTAAAGTTTAGTAATTTATATATCAATTTCATAATGCTAGTTTACATTCATTTACTTAATTTCTCAAGTATAACCGCAGGAAATGTTAGTTCTTAAACAGTTGTGGAAATGCAGTAAATCAGACAGATTCAAAGCTGGAGATTATGGGCTATGGGTAATTACGGGTACATTTACAGTTTTAATAGAAGCTGACGGTACTGGTATTAAACGTTGTGACCTCTTGCTTCCTCCCTGCAGATCCGCTACATCACAGAGACCCAGGGTTTGCCTCCTGATAACATGCTTGATAGGGGAATAAAGACCGAGCTTTACTTTAGAATCGAAGGCGATTGTGAGGATTTATTATGGAGTTTGAAGGTGCGACCTTATATATTAATCATAACCATATTTATAAAAAATAAATGACATGTAAAACCTTCAGGACATGGGGTTAAGCAAATCCTATGGTATCATGATAGTCCCAGTAAATGATCTGCCATGAACTGGTTAAAGCAACATTTCAGGATTTGTATTTAATATATTTTATTAAGCCAGATTAAGTTTTACACACTTACATTCAGAAGTTCTGATGTGATAAAATTGAAATAATAGTTCCTCCATAAAGAGTTTTAACTAGCCCCCCTTTTCTCTGTCAGCTTTGCAGCCATTTTATAAATAAACTTTCACAACCACATGGTAAATAAAAAAACTAAACTGTTTAGACTCAGGGAAAGCTGCTGGGTCAGGTTATGTTAAGACGTGTTTATTGGTTTCGTTCTAACATTAGCAGGAAACTTATTGAGACACTGTAGAATGCTACACTGAATGATGGTCTCATTCCAGAACCTAATGGACAATCTTGTTTATCCTCTTCTTTAGAGTAAAATACACTACGAATATGGTATTAGACCAATTGAAAGACGGAAATATGTCTTCAGTTCGCTTGATGATATGAGGAAGGTACTGTATTCCTGGGTCACTCACATTAATCCAAAATCACATGGCATCTTCCTCTCACCCATGTGCCATTCTCTGTGGTTTAGAAGAAGAAATCTTACTTAAAAAATTGGTTGGTCAAGCACAGAGGAGGTGGTGGAACAATCTCTTCGTGCTTAGCTTGTATGCGCATTGTTTGTACGGGAAAACCTAAAACATTTTACACCTCTAGATAAGCAATCTTAAAAAATTTTTTGTCTATGCTCGTATGCACTTCAGTTAGGTCATAATGTATGGGTGTTACATTTTCACTTTTTTAATATGTATTTTTTTTAAATGTATCACATATATATATATATATATATATATATATATAATGAAAATATAAAAGAGGAATCCCTTACTTGATTTTTGCACCCCTGTCTTATCTTCAGAGACCTATCTTGTTACAAGAATCTGATGATCTGTCTAGAACCTTTACCAGCGTTGTAGGTGACATTGTAGCTTTTTACCCCTGAGCCTACCAAACACTACAGAAGTTGGGAGGTTGGTAGGGAGTACAGAGAAGCAGTCAGATCACTTACTGTAGTTACTGCCTTTACCCTTAATGTTGGCCCTATGACACTGAAAGAAACGTATCGCTTTTTAATGAATACTAACCTCACCAAAATAAAACATTGTCTCAAACACTGTTTCTTTCTCTTCAGATAATTTTACCATCAAAGTTGGAGAGCAGTGACACGCTGGTGGAGATGACAGACATATGGCAGTTTCTTGATCTAATGAAGGAAATGCTCACTATGGATCCCCACAAGAGGATAACTCCCATAGACCTTCTCAGCCATCCCTTCATCACCATGGTTCATCTCCAGCACTTCACGCGGAGTTCATAGTATGTGATTTTCCTTGTGCACTGGGAAGGTTGGTGGGGAAGTTAGTATCAATGTGGTAGTAGGAGGATCAATCGTATTCATAACTAATATAGGGAGCTATATTTATCTACAAGAATATGTAGAACGCTATAAATTGTATGAGTAACCTCCAGTACTCTAGCTTTTTTGCCGCCTTTCGTTATGGTTCATAGTTTAAAGGAAGACTTCAGGCATACTGCTATGGCTCTCAGCATTATAAGTAGTCACACCGCTCACCACCTCCTCTCTGCAGCCATGAGAGGTGAAAGTTTAGCTCAGAGAGAGAGAGAGAGAGCTTCCTGCTCTGTGAAGGGTGTAGTGGAGGCAAACAGCAGCACCTGGGGGAACCCAGGTAAGAAGTCAAACTGTCCTAAAAAAGATTTGATTACTTACATTGTGGGGTGTCAGGGTAATCCTAGCACGATAATCACTGCACAGCACTGATTGGTTAAGGTGCTTGGAATGTTCCCATGAAGAATATTGCAAGAGTATTTGTAACTTTAAACAGCAGCTAAAATTATGTCTTCGGTTCTGAGAAGGAAAGTTTTATTCAACGATTCATTTGAGTATTCTTCCTCATTTGTTCCCATTCTTCCATAACTGTTTACTCTTTTATTTCTTCAAAATGTTTATCATTTACTTTTTCCTGTGACATTCTTCCTTTTTATATCATTTAATCTCACTGTCCAGGCCATGAAGATCAGCAAAGAACAGGTGAGTATAGTGACAGTCCCCCTTATGATCCCCTAAAAACCAGTAGGAACTGTTAGGGGTGTCCAGTAATGTGCAGCTGAGGATGTAATGTTTTCTCCAGCTTGTGGGATGGGGATCACATTTCAAAAGTGTAATTATAACATAAACACAGACACAAAACTGATAAAGGTATGATATTCTATTTTACTGAACAAACTTAGTATTTATGAAAAAATGGCAATTTAATGTGTTAACACAGAGCAGCAAATTCCGGCATTTATTTTGTCTCGTTATACTATGATACAGGAGGTGTGTCCCGAGTCTCCAGAAATGGAGACAGAGTCGCAGAATGAAGAGAACAAGGAGGAACAGCTAATAGAAGAAGATTCTGGGAAGAAAGGAAAGAAAGAAAAGAATTATAACAAACGACTTCTGAAACTTGTAAGTGCTCCCAAGGGTGTACCTGGGAACTGCTGAGATCTGGTGTAAGAATCAAAGAATCTCAGACCCCCTCTCAGCAATACATCTGAGTGGGATGATGGGATGAGTCTGACTGTGTGTGTAGTTCGCTGATTGTATCTAACGTTAAAGGGATACTCTGGTCACCATAACAACTTCATCAATTGAAGTTGTTATGGTGCCAGGAAGTCCTATGTGCCTTCCTACCTTAAAGGGTTAAACCATCTATGAAGGGTTTAACCCTGTCTGCTCTGCCCAGTGCCTTCAACCAATTCTGCATTCAATCAAGAGGCCCCTATTCATAAAACTGAGTGCAAAATGTACATTTTATGAATGGGTTCTGTTTGTAATCGGTGTGCTGTGAATTCAGGGGTGAATCAATGTGAACTGCTTATAAATGTCAATGTAGAGTATTTCTGAAAAGAATGTCAATGTGTTTCTAGAAAAGCAAGGTGTGTTTGTGTGCAATTAATATAAGTGTGTATTTGTGTGTTGCTTTTTTTTTTTTTTGCATTTTCTTTTTGTTGATCGGAGGAACTCCAGGGCTCAGTCGCATTAATTTGTGCTATTTTTATTTTTTAAATCTATGTATAAATAAAATACACAGTGTCACACATCATTACTATGAAAGTTGAAACATGACAATGTCCAAGGGATTCATTAATTAATACATTCTGATTTTGTTTTCCTTTTGACTTGTAGCATGTAGATGCTCTCGTACTTGCAAACCAAGTGGGCTTATCAAAGAAAATAACTAGCCAAACTGAGGCTGAGCCCCTGGGAATGTGTGACAGTTCCCCACTGCCACAGATCGAGATCCAAGACCAGGTAAGCATGTACGCAATGTGGCAGATTAGTCCTTAAGATTTTGGGGTCATTAGATATTGACTAGAGGTAGAAACTTTACTGAGGAAAAATCCCTGAACTTTCTCATACCAGGGAAAGAAAGATGGCAATTCTCTCTCTAATACAGAAAGAAAGATCTTAATACTATAGTATATTAATAATATTTAATGTCATGGTTGTAGGGATAAATTGCTTATTCTGCTTTGAGAATTGTATTACTGTGTGTGATGATTTATCACCTTCCCATGTGTGTCACTGTGATACACTATACACCAGGGGAAGGCAACCTTTGGCAGTCCAGATGTTCTGCACTACATCTTCCGTGATGCATTGCCAGCTTTATGGGTGTAAGAGCATTCTGAAAGACTAAGTAATTTATCCTTAGAACCGTAGCATTAACCCCATGTCACATAGCACATTGTGTTGACTTACAGTTTTCTGTGTATATTCACCTTCTATTTTATTCCTCTCCTTACAGAGAAATGTATATATATATTTACACAAACACATATATACATACACACACACACACACACACACAAAATCTATATTACACACCCAATGATAATGAATAGAAATGCACAATGGGCTCCGTTAATGAATATATTCTGATTTTTTTCTTTTCTTTTTGTGGGTAGCAGGCTCAGGATGGACCTTTACTGGAAAAGTCAAGCGAATCTGAGGAGAACTGTGAAGTAGTTGCAGAGGATGTGGTACCTGACACCCAGGAAAGACCAGCTCAGAGCGAGAAGGAAATATCTGATGAGAACAAAATCGAAATCCTGAGTGAGTCAGATGAAGGCGACAAAGAAGAGGAGGGGGGAAAAAAGAAAAATAGGGGATCCTGCCTGAGACGGGTGCTGCTGCATCCCCAGAAAACCAAAGAAAGTAAAGGTGAACACACCCGAGACCACAGATGTCATCATATTTCAGGTCCATGGACTTCACAATTTCAGCGGTGAATGCAGCACAGAGAGCGAAGCTGCAGCTTCCACCCACTCCTCTCTGCCATCGGAGTGAAGTGGAGGTCTGCCGCAGAAATGGAAATGTGTCAACGACCTGTCTCGAATGTGAATGAAGAAACAAAAAAACTCTTCATAAAAATCTATAAAATATCAAGGCATTCTATCAATGAGAATCGAGATGAGGAAAACCTTATGCAACATCTAACCTCAAAATGAATAACACGTTGGGAATCCAATCGACAAATGATAATGAGGTGGCATATAGTTCCCACAAGACTCGCACATATTTAACCCTATAATCTGTGATTTACAACACCACTAAGTTCTGTAATACCACTACAACCTGAACAATTTCTTCTCAAAATGTTCCCCTCGCAACTAAGAAGATTACATATTCTCACAGCCGCGAGAACCAACATTACTGGGCATTGGAAAACAAACCTGCAAGCACTTATTCACTCAGTATGACCTCCCTGAAACAGACAACAGTATGAAGAGATGATCCATAAACTCACTGACACTCTATCCAAATTCAAGAAAATACCTTGTACCAGAGTTAGGACTCATTAGGGCTCCCGGGGACCAACCCTTCATTGTTCTTCCTCCCTTTCATTTCATGTCCCCCACTTCTGTTCTTTCTTACTTAGCCTTTTTCACTTGTCACTCCTTACATCCCGTTGATGCCTACATATCTTCTCTCTACATGACACAGTCTTCCTGAATCACACATGCAGTGCTTACATGACGTGAAACACCTGTGAAACCTATATTACGTTTGATGTTATGTATCATTTACTGACTGTACTTTTGAACTTTTTTGTTATACTTTAAGTTTTCTTTTATGTTTGTAATATTGATTGCTATTGTCATGTTATACCAACCAAATTGGGGGGAAAAAAATCTCAATAAAAATGTATATTAAAAAAAAAAAAAAAAAAATTAAAAATTAATTTGTCAATGGTCCCTTTAGTTACTCATAAAAAGTGTTTGTGGTAGTGAGGAGATTTTTATCACATTTTGGTGAGTTAAGATTTATCATAAAGACTTGAATCCTGTCCTAGATCTGAGATTCCCTTTCTAGATGTTGCCAACCCTTAGCAATAAGACAGGAGATAGAGCCCTCAGTACTGAGCCAAAAGCTGGTCAGTGTGTCTATGAGTCAGCCTTTCCCACCAGTCGCAGAGAGCGTAAGGAATGTTTGATGCAGCCATACATTAAATATCAGTGAGTAATTTCATATTCTATTGAGATAAGCAATTGTGAATAGCAGCGTAAACCAACATTCTCTTTTCTGTTGAATCATAACAAAACAAATTAATGTTTATCACACCTGTCAGTACAGGAAAGGATTTTAAATATACCACTTATGCAGAGATAAGTGGGACTCAAAATTAGCTCTTGTAAGCATATTTCAACAATAAAGTTTGTATACAATGATTTTTCTGCAAATGTCCGGTAACAGCACTGTCCCTGTTGTCAATAGCAACCAAATGCGTTTCGCTTTTTCGTGTTTCAAAGATAAATTGCACTCAATTTGAAATTTTGCAAGATTTTTAGAATAGATTATTTTTTTTTACTTTATTTTTTTTTTTAGAAGTGACTGCCAGAGTCACCTCCTTTCCTGGGCTCATATAATAGCTTTTCATATACTGTTGCTGTTTTAAAAGAGACAGTATGGATAATAAGTAACCATTTCAGAAGAGGCAGAAGAAAAGTAAATAGATTTAAAATGTTAGCAGTTTTCTTAGTCTTTATTACATAAAAATACAAAGGACCAATGGAACAGAGGTTAGGTAGTCCAGATAATGGTAAGTGAAAGAGTAAGAATCTACTTCACAATTGAATATAGTGTGTCCTAATTAGTTAATGTTGGAGCTTTATGGTTATCCAAGACATCTGATATTTCAGGGTTACTGAGATGAATCCACAATTATCAAAAGTCATGTTGTTAGTAACCTAATAGTCAGTTAACCTAACAGTCAGTGTAAAGGTAAGGTGAGAATATATATTTTAGGTACTTCTATAGAAAAAAACTACTAAATATCGATATGTTATAAAAGGGAATGTAACCATAAAATGTTTTATTAGTTCTAGTGGATTCAGAGCCCCTATGTTAGGAACTAAAAATAGCTTACATATTTCCTTTGTCACCATTTAATTTGGTAAATTAGGTGAATGCATCTGACATAATATTAATAATATTCTGGGTGAGGAGTTTAGTGTACCCCCAATCCCAACCAATGGATGCTGGATGGGGATCTAAATAAGTAAACAATGGGGGGTGGACGTACCATTGTCCTCCTCCCCAAAACAGTGGCATGTCCCCTGCTTCTCTCCCCTGGTGACTAAGCGTCCCCAAAGCAACATACAATGAAAAAAAAGAAAAACATGAAGCAATAAAATTAACCCAATTTCACTTTACTAGGGCCCACTGAGGACTGAGCTCTCACAGTAGGGAAAGCCCTTTTAAAGGCTTTCCCATTCTAAGTCAGCTATGTGATATTTGTAAGCGCGCTCAGAATGATTGGCCAGTAAGCCAACCAATCAAAGAACTCTGACAGCCAAGTCAAACTTATCTTGAGACTTGGCTCTTGAGAGCGTTCTCATTGATTGGCTAACTGGCCAGATTTGGGATCAGCATGATAGCAATAGGTCTCAGCAGGGAAGCCTTACAGTAGAGGGAACATGCAGTTGCAGTGTGTAAATGTTAAATAGTTATTTTTCTAACTAACCTACCATAGGGCTCTCCTCCTTGCTGCCTCCAGCAGCATGCCCATACCTCTAACACAAACAATATGCCAGACAACCTCCCTATACATACAGACAACACCCTCTCCCAACCATCTCTCTTTTTTCCACTGATATTTACCTTAACACAGAACGAGTCTGTCACTACACTCACTTGGCATTTCTGCTTTTCCAGAGCTCTTCAGCAGAGCCCTGTGAATGAGCTACCCTGAAGGGGTATCAAACTGACATGCCTGGAAAGTGTGAATGTCATTGGGATGATACAATATGCCCCATCTCTAGCTCTGCGCCACCCCCTCCCATAATGTGCTGATCTGCCTTTAAATGCTTGGGCTGAGTTTTTGAGTTTTTGTCCCAGTTTGGACCTGGATGTGACCGATAAGATTTTCTAATGTATCAGATTTTCATCTGTTTCTAATATGGCAGATGCGTTAATACAGTTGTTTTAATGTAAAAACCATTTATCTTGTAATGCGATAGAGAACTGATAAAAAATGATGTATGCATGTATGAATATGTAATAATACACATATTGGCTCAGGTAGTGCAGCTCATCCAGGATGGCACATCAATGCGAGCTGTGGCAAGAAGGTTTGCTGTGTCTGTCAGTGTAGTGTCCAGAGTATCGAGGCGCTACCAGGAGACAGGCCAGTACATCAGGAGACGTGGAGGAGGCCATAGGAGGGCAACAACCCAGCAGCAGGACCGCTACCTCTGCCTTTGTGCAAGGAGGAACAGGAGGAGCACTGTCAGAGCCCTGCAAAATGATCTACAGCAGGCCACACATGTGCATGTGTCTGCTCAAACAGTCAGAAACAGACTCCATGAGGGTGGTATGAGGGCTTACAGCCCAACACCGTGCAGGACGTTTGGCATTTGTCAGAAAACACCAAGATTGGCAAATTCGCCACTGGTGCCCTGTGCTCTTCACAGATGAAAGCAGGTTCACACTGAGCACATGTGACAGACGTGACAGAGTCTGGAGACGCCGTGGAGAATGTTCTGCTGCCTGCAACATCCTCCAGCATGACCGGTTTGGCAGTGGGTCAGTAATGGTGTGGGGTGGCATTTCTTTGGGGGGCCCTCCATGTGCTTGCCAGAGGTAGCCTGACTACCATTAGGTACCGAGATGAGATCCTAATACCCCTTGTGAGACCATATGCTGGTGTGGTTGGCCCTGGGTTCTTCCTAATGCAAGACAATGCTAGACCTCATGTGGCTGGAATGTGTCAGCAGTTCCTGCAAGACGAAGGCATTGATGCTATGGACTGGCCCGCCCATTCCCCAGACCTGAATCCAATTGAGCATATCTGGGACATCATGTCTCGCTCCATCCACCAACGTCACATTGCACCACAGACTGTCCAGGAGTTGGCAGATGCTTTAGTCCAGGTCTGGGAGGAGATCCCTCAGGAGACCATCCGCCACCTCATCAGGAGCCTGCACAGGCGTTGTAGGGAGGTCATACAGGCACGTGGAGGCCACACACACTACTGAGCCTCATTTTGACTTGTTTTAAGGACATTACATCAAAGTTGGATCAGCCTGTAGTGTGTTTTTCCACTTTAATTTTGAGTGTGACTCCAAATCCAGACCTCCATGGGTTGAACAATTTGATTTCCATTTTTTATTTTTGTGTGATTTTGTTGTCAGCACATTCAACTATGTAAAGAACAAAGTATTTCAGAAGAATATTTAATTCATTCAGATCTAGGATGTGTTATTTTTGTGTTCCCTTTATTTTTTTGAGCAGTGTACATCAGTCTGCCCAGTGCGAGGCTTGCATTTATAAATTGGTCTGTACTGTATGCTGTGAACTATATTGAACACTGACTTATTGTCATCATATTCTTGATTTGTCTCAGGTTGATCCATATTTGTGTTTATATTAGTATATATTATAACACACATTTTTGAGTAAGTTATCTATCACACAAAATAACAGATTTTGTATATACTCTCTTATTTCTAAAACTGTAAACTTTGCAACCAGCATTTTAACTGGAGCAGTTATACAATGTGCATTGATTAAGATGCCTCAAACTTCATAAAATAATAATCCTATATTTATCTTAGCATTTATATTTATTTTTCTGTTTTAAGTACCATAAACATTTTCTTAGCAAAGTCTATCCTGTAGCATTGTGTGTGTAAGCTCAGTAATGCGTACACTAGTGATGTGTGTCTAAATTACAGTGATGCATTTGGAGAATGCTTCATATGTCAGTGCCCGTTAAGGAAGGAACTAAAACCAATTATTTATTTATTAAAGAAAACACCATTAACTAACTGTTAGCACCATTAATGTGATAACCTGGCCTGTGAATAAAGGAGATTGAGGGATTTCCGGAGTACATGACTAAAA